TTATCTAGTTAAGATCTTTATAAAGAGCTCTTTAGAAGTCGTATATATATGAAAAACACGTCTTAAGCTTAAGGCGGCGTTATACAAAGTTGTATAGCTACTGCTTACTAATAGGCTTTATGTAATGTGTCTTACGCAAAAGATCGGCCATATCTTATACGTGATTAATCTAGAGCGGGAATCCTTGTGAGTCTAGGTCAAGGATATATTATATAAGCGTCTCTTTTTTAGTTAGGGTCAAATTATATTAGGCATTACGTTCTTTAGTCTTTAGGGTATAGCTCTTTATTTAATTATAAAGGGTACTTTAAGGGATATTGTACGTCTTTATAGCATGTTAGATTAATATTTCTTAGTATGTATAGATAGCCTAAATAGCAAGAAGAATTCTAGCTTCTTAAGATTAAGAATTTATAATATTATTATGTTATAGCTGTATATAATAGTCGAAAGGTTATAATAAAGAAGAAAAGTACGCAGGACACTTGTATATACAGGACACTTATAAACTATATTATTCTAAAAAAAGAATTAAGAGTTCTTTTTAGATAATATTATAGCCTTGTATATAATAAACCTATAGCTCTAAATCATCTTAAAAAAAGATATTATTATTATATACTAGAATCTTGTCTAAAAAAATCCTTATTAAGTAACTCACTAATAAGTCTTATCTAAGGTCAGAAGATCTTTTATAGTTATATTAGCCAACTATTTAATAAAGAATAATAAACTATATTACTAATAATACTTATAAAGTCCTAAAAACAAAAAACTAAGACTCTACTATATTAATAAATATTATAAATAGCTAATAACTAGTTACTTAGACCTTATAAAGACCTATAAGATCCTGTAATAATAATTCTATTAGCTAAAGATAATAGACTTAGTAAAGAAACAGCTAGTCAAATGTCTTATATATTATTATATAAAATTCTTTTATAAATGCTAAGGTTAACTATAGACATTAGAGCCGCCTAAGAAATAATAATAATACCTAGCTATAGATTTTGTTATAGACTTCCCTAAATCTAATAGTATTTTCTCTAGCACTATAAGCATTTAGGTCTTAATAAACTAATTAACTAAGAAAAGATATCTAGCGCCTTATTATAACATAAAAATAAAATATCTAGTTAGAATATTTATTTACTTTATTATTTATAATTATAGCCTCTTTAAGTTAATAATATTTAATAAAGATTTATAGTTTATTAGTAAATTCTAAAATAGCCTATATAAAAAGCTAGGTATTAAAGCAAAACTATCTATTATATATTATTTAAAAATAAATAAATAGTTAAAATAAGTTAATTAAATAATAAAGACTTATTTATAAAGCTATATTAATTATATATAAGATAACTAAGCTAAATAGATTACATTAACTAAATTTGTTATAAATAATTATAAGTCAGAATTTATAAATATATTCTTATTCTTTATTAATAAAGGCTTTAATTTTAAGATAAGCTTTAATTAAGTTAAGACTCTTCTTAATCTTTATATAAAAGATATCTTAATATTTATAAAAAGATTAAGAAGAGTCTTAACTTAATTTTAAGA